CCCCCAGTTCTTTGAAGTTTTTTTTTTTTTCGCTTTTTTTGGATGGAATAAGAATAACGTTAGTTTATCTGCTCCCCTGTTGTGTGGTTGTGACTGCATTTCCTTACAGGTTGCTGGGCGCGCCGATACCCTCACGAGATTGCTAGATTATATATATATATATTTGTGACGATATATATATATATATGCGCTCCGATTTCCAGTGTGACAATATATATATTTGAGTGATTGAGCTGAGGGAGTATCGATGGCAAAGCTGTCCATTGTTTTGAGAGGCATGGCAGCTGGATGTGTTGCGATCGCGGCTAAGTTGGGCGGCGCAGTCAAAGCTGCAGGGAGTATGAAAGCTGCCGGGGCAGCTGCCGCCGCTGCAGCCTTGGCCTCTACACTTGGTCTAAATAAGCGTGACACTGCTCCAAGTGGTGGAAGTGGGGCTGCTACCGACGGCAACGCCGGCCGTTGACAGTGTCGACTAACTCTGTGTATGATCTTGAAAGCACGAGAAGCGCTCGCTCTCACAGGGAGGGGGAAATGGGATAAATGCTTGCCGGATGCAGGTCACGGTACGTCTTCTTCTGGACGATGACGATTGTTTATGGTTGTGCAGATTTTGCCAGATCTCACTGATGACAATCAGTACACCGAGTCTTTGTAAAGTAGTAATCTGAGCAATGATTGTTTGTTAAATTTGTTTTCGAGAAAAGAGAAAAGAGTTCCAGTCAGGAAGGTGCTTTGCTTCTGACCGATTTCGTATTCCTCATCTTCAGTCGAATTTGAGTTAAGGATGCATGCATGGTGGTGATGCATGGCTGCTTCCTACTACCGTCGTCACCCGAATAGAACGCCCGGTAATTATCGCTGCATCTGGACCGAGAGGTGTGCCAAATACAGCTATAATGACCAGGCGTTCTATTCGGGTGAAAAAAGACGGTAGGCTTGGTGGAGGTTATACGCATGGCTCGATCAATTGCCAGCTGTGGGAATGGGGAGGGCAAAGAGGCCGAGGGAGAGGGGGAGGCAGAGTGGTTTCTGACTGATATCTAAGATGCAATGCTGGTATTCCTCCCTCCCTCCCTCCCTCCCTCCCTCCCTCCCTCCCTCCCTCCCTCCTTAATCAGCACCGAACCGAACTCAGAAGGCTGTCAACAGCACAGGCCCGCACTGAAGAATGTGTTGCGGGAGTCGTAAGCACCTTTATCGGCGAGTGAAAAAAAAAATTTAACTGACCGATACATCCAAGGGCAAAGGATTGCGACGTACATTTACGCACGGCTTTCCAAGTTTCAAGGTTATTCAAGGTTATTCCCAAAACTCCATGGGTTCGAACCTGGTCCAATGGTTCGAACCTGGTCCAATGGTTCGAACCTGGTCCAATGGTTCGAACCTGGTCCAATGGTTCAAACAAAAAGACCTCTTCCTGGTGTCAATGTGAGTTGCTGAATGTATTCGAATTTCAAAGAACGCTGGACTTTGGAGGAATGGCTTTCTTGCTTCCACACACTAGAGTCCACTGATACGGATTGGGGGGATTGGGAGAAGGAAGAAGGAAGAAGGAAGAAGACTTGCTTATAGTCATTATGACTGCTGCCAATGGCAACTGATCATGCCGATGATTTCTTGCCGTTGCTCTACACAGTCCACCGACGTGGAGGGATCGGAAAGAAGAAGGCTTCATGACTGCAACCCCAAGGGAACTACCTGTTGTTAAACCACCAGCTCACGCGAGCCGAAGTTGTGGCCTTGGAGTAGCCTTGGGGTATACACCGTAAGTCTGTTCCGCTTTGTAGCAGGATGGAGCCTCAACTTTAAACCAGGGGGGCTGGTCCCCGGGTGGACCGGGGGGCCCTCCCCCGCCCGGGAGCCTGCCGGTCGACCGGGCCGGCAGACCCCCGGTCGAATCCAGTGCATTAGGCTGGATGGGGAGTACGGGGCAGTGACAGGCAACCCCGCGACTGCCCAGTCCCCACGAGGCCGCGGCCTCCAAAAAAAAAAAAAAAAAATGGGGCTTTTTGGGCCCTACTTCTAGAAAACAACGAGCGGAGGATCTCCGCCGCTTATCTTTGCAGATCAGCAGGGAACAACACACGCACCCGTTTTCTCAAAAATTGGGGGCCCACCAGGCCCCATATTTCGATTTGGCGTAGTGTCGTCCGACAGACCACGGACCAATTGTCATTCGCAGGAGATAGTCGTCCATCCTCAGCCACGAGGGAATTACAATGCAAGAGCAGTGGCTCTCCTGAGGTTGTATGCTTCTGCAACATCACTAAGCTCTGGGGAAAGAGTTATGGGTTGGGTTTCGGCTTTGTATGCTTCTGCAATATCACGAAGCTCTGGGGAAAAAGTTATGGGGTTGGGTTTCGGCTCTGTCTGAGGTGCAAGCCCAAGAATGGAGGTAAGCTATATGTTTCTCTCAGTTTAGTATCTAGAATGGACCTGGCTCCACTACATGTATCTGGACCGACTGGCAGGTGAGATACTTTCAGACTGAGGACACTGATGACCCAGCGTATGTAAGAAAAAAGCAAAAAGCAAACGGAAAACGCTCTGCCTGCACGAGCTGAAACCTGCACCCATAACTTTTCTGCCGTCGAGCTATACTCTGGAAAAGCTATACTTTTTGGCAAGGATCCGCTCCCATCACGTCTCGTTCAGGCTGCAGGATCCTGATGGCCGTTGGCATAGTTCAGAGTGCCCTCTACTACTGAATTGAAGTTCGTGGGCCACAGGGGGGTCGGATAAGTACCCCTGCTTACTCGACCCCTCCCCCTGAAAGCGACACGTCCGTGAATATCCCAATAATATCCCCACCTCCCACTGGGGCACCCCCCCC